GATACAAAAAGTAGAAAAAAAAACATAACATTTTGCTAAATTTATGGATTCAATAAGTCCACGATCCAAATCTTGTTCTCCAAACGACCCCTTAGTATTTAAATATTTTGCTGTGTCATTCTATAATTTTTGTAACATCAGTATTGAAAATTGTATAAAAGTATTAGTGTTTTCTAATATTCGTAAGATTTCTTGTGTAATTTACGATTATAAATTATTTTTTATGAGTGGTAATCAAAATATAATCTTTCTATTTTTTTTTATTATATTGGATAAGTTGTATTTGAAAGCTTATATTACAACATTTTGCATAGTTATAAGTTATAACATTTTATTTTTCTCACATGATGATAGTTGACATAGCTTTGAAAATGATAATAAATAGCTTTTGTTTAGGAGTAAAATACAATGATTGTGAAATTGTACCGTGGGTAATACCGAAAAAGTCAATAACATTATATATTGTGTTAAAATTATTGTTTAATTGTAGTTCAGACATTTCCTATCGTTAAAATCACTTATCAATTTGAATTTGTATTCAGTATTTCTATTTCGACTAATCGATACATAGGGTTTCTTATTTGTAAGCATCCGTAAAAGAGAGAGAAAAGAGCTTTCTGGTTGAACGATAAAAGATTCCTAATTCTAGTATTTTACACAAACCCCAATTAGCGCAGGAGAGAGATTAAAATATTATGAAGAGAATTAATTATCAAATTATTAAAAAAAACTAAATAACCCTAGAAAAACTATAGCCGGCAAAAATGGTAACCACCCAAGGGCGGATCTAGTGACTAAGGGGGTGCTTAGTCACTTGACTAAGTCCCTCCCAGTCTTTAGATCTGGACACATCAATCTGACGGTTAAAAAGTGGAAAGGGCTATTTATTTAATGACATGGATAGTTTGGGTATTATGGAAAATTACGAAGTATACAAACCGGCTTACAAACAATACAAACTAGAGCGACAAAACATACAAACAGATTTACAAAACAATACGAAACATACGAACTATACAAACAATACAAACTAGACTGACAAACATTACAAAACATACTAACAATACAAAATGTCACTACTTATTACAATACAAAACAGTAACTTAGTATTACAAATCAATGAACACGTATAAAGTATATAAATCACAACATAAAGTATACAGACAAACAAACATTACAAATTATAATTTATACAAATTAGTCCTATAAATATTACAAACATAATAGATAAAAATGACAAACTCGAATGATAAACAATACAAACCGAATTGACACAAAATCACAAAACATACTTACAAAAATCGTTCGACAAGCATAGCAAAACAGCCGTTGTTGCCGGAAAATCCTCTACGCCGCCAAAAAATGTGTTGATGACGAAAAGACATCTCTCTCACACACACACACAAATGGTGGCCTGGGACTCAAAAATGGACGGCATACAAAAAATGTCGGCCGCCGACAAATCCTGGACGGCGGAGAACACCGGGAAATTCTCGGTTGCGGCGGGAGGACGGGACGGTCATAGAATCTTTTAATTGTTAATTACATTAAAAATAAATTAATCATGAACTATGCAATTACTACATAACCCTTCATTAAATTAAATTAATTAGAGTCATTGGGTGGGGCAGCGGTTTTGGACCAAACCGCCCTACCCGCTGCCGTCAACAAAACCGCCTCCAACCCAAGTGGTTTTGATTGAAAATCGCGCTCCCATCCAGCAATTTTCGGGTAAACCACGGAATGGGGTGATGGTTTTTTAGAAAGGGTGGTATTTTTGGGATTTTTCAGGATTGGGTGGTAATTTTGTAATTTTTTTTAAACAATGATATTTCTAAAAAAAAATCCATCAATTATATGTTCAACAAAATTTTCTCGTCACTAAACAATTTCACTTCCTCCTCTTTAACCAATACTCACAAGTACCCTCTCTGAAATCAAATCTTCTTATCAAACCCCTATTGTTTCTTGGAGTATAAAGGCATTACAATTACAAAATTGAAAACTCTTATTGTCTTAAATTATTGAAGTTTACTTTTTTCTAGGAAGAGAAGTGGAATTTACTATAACATTCAAGTCAGATCGCACATCGACAAACAAGAAAAAAGAGGGATGAAATAACGTGACAACCCCATTAGGGGGTTGTGAGATTGACAACCCATTTTATAACCATAGAATTCATTCTCTCTTTTGTCTCTTTCTTCTTCTTCTTTTTTTTCAAATCAATGGTACATATTGGATTAAGGGTATTTTTGGACGAAAAAATTGACCACACTAGATTATTACCCCTATTAATACCCAAAACCCTACATTCTCTCTTTCCTCCCCCTCTCTCACGCCATCACACTGTCCTATTCTTCTTCTTCTTCCTCCCATCTCTTCCCTCTCTCTTTGTTGGCTGCCACCACCACCGCTGCAGCCCTCCCGTCGTACCGCCCTCCGCCTCCCACCACCACCGCCGTGCCATCACCCTCTCCCCGTCGCAACCCTCTTGCCGCCCTCCGTCTCCCAACATCGCTGTCGTTGCGAGGTCACCGCCTCTCCCTGCCTCCCCCTTTCCTCATCCCTGATTTCTTTTGTCAGATCTATGATTTTTCATATTTCATATCTGGTTTTTTTGCGTTAGTTTCTAGTGGTACGCTACCAGTGGCATTGGTACCGCTACCAGTGGCACTACTACCGCTACCAGTGGTAATTGTAGCGTACCACTACTGCTGATAGCACTACCAGTAAGTAGTAGTATCATACCAATACCAGTAATAGTGTACCACTAGTCAAAAATCACTACCACTAGCACACTGATGAAGTGGTACTTTTTTGCAGGTGGCCGGAGTGAGTCTGATTGAAAGATTTCATCGGAAAAAAATTTGCTAGTCATAGAAAGTTTGGCGGTCAGAGCGAAGAGGCCGCTATAAAAAAAAGAGAGATAGAGAAAGATTCAAGTGTATTAATTGTAGGGTTTGATTTTTTTTTTTAAAGTATGTATTTAATATGGATTTTTTCTCAATGTGTAATTAATACAAAATAATTAATTAATAAATTCATCTTTTCTCATACCCAAAATACCCTTGGTTGTCAAACCCACTTAGTAGTTGTCACCATACCCATCCCCGAAAAAAGATACATAAACCATAAGGAATAATCCAACATTCAATGATAATACTTGTTTTGGGGACCGGTTAGCGTGACTACCCTAAAGGGGTCTGATTTTCGACACCCATCTTCTTTACCGTCCATTCTCAATAGTCTTAATCTAATGGTAGGAAGTAAACAGTTGGTAATTTGTAATTAATTACATCGGAAAGGGAAAGAAGTCCTGGTTCACACGCATAATTTAAAATTCACTCCCCCTTACCTTTTTTTATTTCACGGTTTCATTTTCCTTCTCTCTCTCTGTTCAGAACCCGACCGTAAACCTTCGCCGCCGACTCATCTAATCACTATTCCCTGCCGTAACCCATCCTCTCCTTGACAAACAGCGGTCGGGCCATCCAACATGTCGGAAGTCCTCCGTCTTCCATCCTGAACCATCAACTTCGAACCCGCTTGATCGATTCCCGTCGACGATTGTCTATCTGCGACAGAGCTTATATAAGCCGATAGTGGCGGCGACATGATTTTCCTAAGGTGAGGCAATTATACTTGAACGACCACAATTCATCCCCCAATTCATATAGTTATTCGTCTCCTTCAGTATGGTATTGCACGACAGTTGTAGATTTTTTGCTGTGTTTATTTATTCATGCAGTGGTAGTTCTATCACTTTACTGGTAGTTCTATCACTTTAGTGGTAGATCGATCAAAGCAGTCGTAGATATATCATTGTAGTGACATAGTTTTTCAGAAGTTGCAGTGGTAGATCTATCGTTGCAGTTGTAGATCTATCAGTGCATTGACATCGTGTGTCTATCGCTGCATTGGTAGATCTTGCACATACAGTGATAGATTTATCGCTGGAGTGGTACAAATATCACTACAATGGTAGTTCGTTGTAATATTTTTGTGTGTAGAGCTATCACTGCAGTGGTATTTACAAAATCATTTTGGTTGTTTAAAGTACCACTACATTGGTAGTTATGTTAGTTCTTAGTATTGACTTATTTTCTAATGAAACCAGGAATGGCAAGGACGAAGAGAACGGGTCCTGAGGTGCCAGCAGGCAATAAACCCGCGGGCCAGAAGGTTGCTGGCAAGAAGCCTGCAACCTATGTTTCCAGGCAGGTGGAAGTTGGGGTAAATCAGTCTCGATCCCCATCATTCCCTACGGTCGTGTCGTGATCAAGCAGACCTATCGTTCCCGACGGCAATGGAGAGAAATAGTAGAGGAGGGGGGAAATAGAAACCAGGGGAAGGAGAGTAGAAACGCCGCAATCCCCATCCAGCTAAATTGCCCCTTCCCATTCATAATTAATATGACAGTTAAGCTTTTCTCTGTTCATATTTATTAAAACAACCATTAGTACTTGCCTAATAATTAAGTGTAAAACGAACCAATCAAAAGGAGGGTGTCAAAAAAACAAACCCCTGTAGTGATGAAGTAGACTTATCGTTCCCGACAGCAATGGAGAGAAATAGCAGAGGAGGGAGGGGGGAAATAGAAACCAGGTGAAGGGGAGTAGAAACGCCACAATCCCCATCCAGCTAAATTGCCCCTTCCCATTCATAATTATTATGACAGTTAAGCCTTTCTCCGTTCATATTTATTAAAACAACCATTAATACTTGCCTAATAATTAAGTGTAAAACGGACCAATCAAAAGGAGGGTGTCAAAAAACAGACCCCTATAGGGGTTAGCATAGTATCCGACCCCTTGTTTTGAGGTGAAAAGATTAACACTGCTGAGAACTCTAAAGTTAAATGCAATCATGATAGAGTTGCTTATAGATGAGTAGTCATGATACACCTAAAAACAAAACCATACGGGTTACACCCACAGCAGATCAATATCTTAATTAGAAAAATGGTAAAATGTTATAATTACTTTGACAATTAGGCTATGTCAAAAAAACTTTTTTTTATATCTAGTATCAGTGCGGTTCTCTCCGGTAGCATGTCTGTAGGCGTTGCACTTATCCAACAACGAGATCTGATCAGGAGATAGGGATAATGAGCCGCCAGTCAAGTAATGTTGAGATGCCCGCGTCCTGCAATAATGAAGATTAAATTGTGTAATGGAGAAAGTGAAGTAAACAGACGCAGGACTTGTCATCAAGAGGCTCAGACAACAAGTAATCAGTAATCAAATATTTCCCATTATCGTGTTCTTAAATGCAGGTAGTTAGTTACCTCCGTCTTCTTGTTAAACAATTGCCTTGTTCCGATAAACGAGAAGCTTCTGATCTTGATATGTGGCTCAGTGTGGAAAGATAATCCTGAAATGATTCACCTTTGATTGTAGAATGTGATTTTGAGGGGACAATGGAACGAACTATGTCGAACATAAGAGAGTGGTTCTCCCCACTGCAAGCAAATAAGACGAGCAATTAGTCAAGTAGATCAATATGAGCCATGTCAAGTGATATAAAAGAGAACTATGCTGCCAGGACTTTACTTTTTTAGATAATTGTTGACCCCAAAAGTTCGAACCTAGGGTTGAATTTTATTCTGCCACATTACCATTAGGATAACCATTGCAAGAGAATCATGCTGCAATAACTTCTCATCTCGAACATTTCTACTCCTCACTTGAAATTTCTCAGCATGTAATTAATTATACATATCATCATTCATCCATGTCAGTCCAATCATTTTAAGATAATGTGAGCACTAGTGAGGGTGGATTGACTAATCAGAACAGTGGCCATACCTCTTTGCCAATCCTCCTTCAGACAGGCTATCCGTTATATCGGGCTCACTATGTGATGTCATTCTCGCGCTTGGAACTTGTCCCATCATGGAGGAATCAGCTTCCACCATGCTGCCGATAGACAACATTTCCAAAGTCAAATTTATTTTGTGTTGACCCATTTTTAACCTCAAACCGTTAATGTCATCAACATAGCAGTCAAAACCATGCTGCACAATGTTAGACGTCATCTCTCGCTGCTCAACATGCCACCTGAACGGATCTGATGCCTCAGAAAGAGCAATATAGAGCTCCGATGAACCCTATAACAAAACACTATCAATACCACAAACACAGGAGACAGAAGCAAAAATGTATGCCAAACTAAAACTTACAGGCAAATAGCAATTTGACAGCAATATCTCGGCTTCTGAAACAAGATTGCTCATTCCACAAGCAATCCTGACGATGCCTGGTGCATTTTTATCTTCCGATGCAACCAAATTTCTTAGATCTGAATGAGGGTGACGAAGTTTTCTCCAGGTCTCTCGAACCATGTCAGCCTCATCCAAGCTTCCAAGTTCTGCTGCTGCTGCCGAGCATTTCTTATTGAAATCAATTCGGCTACACTCGTCCATCAATTGGTAATCCCCGGCAACGACTCCCATAAAATCAGTTTGTGAATCTTCAGTCTCTTGAAATGATGAGGTAGGCACGAGTTGATTGCAAGTGGTTCCCAAAATTTCAGAGATTCTACAAGGTTCAGATATGCAGTCATCCAGACATTCTTCCACTGGCGATAGATTGAGATCAAACCCATTGGTAACTGACACTTCTTCCAAAGTAGAAGTCACTTGATCAAGTGACAATCTTGTGTCATCATCAATGTTGGTCTCTGGAACAAATGACGACTCTGGAACACATGAGATATCAATTGATCGGCAGATCTGATTTGAGTGTAAATCTACTGCATTTTCTGAATACTGGTAACAGTGGTCCTTCACTTCCTCTGCTGTAAAACTCGATTTAACATCAGCTTGTCTGCTAGAATAGTTTTTCCTACTCATGTCATCACTGGGAATTTCGCCTAGAATTAAAATATTTCCAGTATCATCTTCGGAATCTGAAGATACTACATGATCAAGCTTTCTTCTACAGTTTCGCCTGGAAAATGAAACTGGGCTAGTTGAGGTAACGAAAGCATCATGTATTGCACCGAGACCAGTGAAGTTACTGCAATCATATTCAAGGCAATTCCTATCCAGCATTGCTTTCTTCTTGGCCTCTGTACTGTCCTTTGTAAATCCACATGCCACCAAATCGCCATGCATTGCTTTCGACTTTACTTCTATGATCCTCACAGCAAGATCCTTCTCTTCTGACTGTAATAGCGACTTTGTGATCTCTTTCTCAATCAACTCCGAAAACTGAGAAGGACAATCCCAGGGAATCATCTTTGGCAGTAATTGATGAGCAGCGTCAGGAGAAAAGATCAACGGTCCCAATAATTTTGGAGTGCCTGAACTCAAGATGTTAGGTTCTAGGGAATGCACAGGGATAAGGAACACATGCATCAGTCATAATTTAGTGGTGCTTCGCTCAGTTTTTTAATAGCAAGCTACCTTTTCATCCATCCATAATAAATTAGTTTATTCTCAAGATTCATCAAGGGTCCAGAGGGAAAACTAACACTTCAGCATAAATAGAAATGAAAAGATCTACACATTACACAATCAGATCCAGTAAGAACACCAACAATGAAACACCACAAAGTGGAACTGCTTGTCAATTTACCTGTTTCCCTGGATTGTTTACCCTGGCACCAAAACTGGGCATGCATAATTGCCTTCCTAATATCTCCATGACAACATTCAACTATTTGCTCAATGACATCACGTCTGGGATCAGCTGTTTCTGAAGAACAAACCTATGGAGACAAAATTGAGTTGTCAACATGGGATGATTGTCTCATAGGCAGGCAAAGATGTAAGCAGATCACCGACCTTATAGACATGCTGAAGGAGATCCTTGCCGGTAGGCATCTTAAAATTCACATAAAGCCTATCCAATTTTTCAGGAAGGGCAGGATTGTCACCTGTTAATTACCAAAATCATGAAAAAGGAACAACAAGATAGATGTACTTATGTGCCAAGAATAGACAAGGAGTAATTGAAATCCATGGAGACATTCGTACTGTTACTGGTCAATATAACAGGGCCTTTCGCATTGTGAGCAATGTGTTGGATAGCAGAAATGAAACCAGCATCTTCGGGGAAGACAACATCGACATCCTCAAAGAGAATCAATGTTTTAGTTGTATTGTCAGACTTTCCACAGGTTTCAGTGAGTTCATAAATGTTCTGCTCGCCTGCTTTAGATTCCAAGTCAAAGACTTTGTTCTCGTGCTCTTGCATCAGTTCATTATCTGGATGGGTAAAGGAGGATTTCATTAAGTGTCGTGGTGGCTTCACAGGACTCTCTAATGACCTGGCAGACATGTCACATAAGAAAAATTATCATACGACATCAATGCTTTATCATTCAGATGTACAGTAACCTACAGGAGAATCAGTAGTATATGTTATCAATATGTGCAGGACACTGCTAGGTGTACAAACCTTTTAAAGAATTGTGACTCCAATGCCTCACCAAACCTATGCTTCACAACAACACCATTTCGACATTCTGATGTACTGACCTAGATAAGAATATAAGCTTTCTTTGATGTGATAGTCGAGTAATAAAGGGAAGTTACAAGGACATCAAACATATTATGCGGAAGTTGGGGGGGGGGGGGGGGGGGGGGGGGGGGGGGGGGGAGAGAGAGAATTTCAACCACCTCCAAGATTTTGTAACCCTGTTCCTTAGCACAAGCATAAATTGCCGCTGATTTCCCACTCTGCAACGAAGAGAAATCTTATTTACCATGACTGGAAACAAATTACAGAATAGGTAATCCAATGATCACAAAACGAGAATGCAGAAAGCTCAAAACATTCCAAAAGGAAACTGAAATGCAGTCTACCCAGAATTTTGCGGCAGAAAGAGGAAGTGATGATAAGTGGTTGATGCCAGGATTTTCTTTTCGGGTTGGGGGTTTGTAAAAATCAACAGTAATTCCAAGATTTAAACATTAATGACTCAACAGAACCTACACAACTAGAATAACATATATGATTATATATCTACAAATGATTCCTATAAAAAAGAATCACTGTTGACCATTAATGAATGAACAGAACCTTATACATATTTGCAAAGTTGGACAACAGGAATGAAGACATCGAGACTTATTATTTACCCCTGCTGGTCCAGTTATCAATAGAACTGGCTTACGGCTACCCATTTCTTCCATGTCCTCTGAGTCACTTTGGGAGCACAAGTAGTCAGTATCTTGCTCATCTAAATCAATCTCAGAAGCACAAAATTTGCTGGCACCATCGCCCTTTTGATGCCAGCTGTGAAGCCACTCATTTACAAAATTCACCGCTTCAATGTTACTAAAAACCTGCAGGAAATTTCCAGAACATAAATTACAATGACGGAATTCAGAGGAAACCAAACGACGGAGTAAGGTTCCTAACATCTAACCTCTCTGACCATCTTTGGCTGGTATTTGTCAGTCCATAATCTATTATCAACCTGGCTTTCATCATCAAGACAATGTGGTGTCACTCTGCAAATGCAGTAACGCGAAATTCATAATTTTGCTAAAATAGAATGCGGCAACTCAAGGAATCAGGAATGATATCAGGAAAAATCTTCTAAAATATACAGTAGCATCCGGAGTATCTTTGTGATAATGATATTCTAGTGCCTTGTGCAGGTACTAAGCAGCTTCAACCTTAGCTCTCCAACTACTGAAATCACTTTCATAGCAATGACATAATTAGTCTTTGTGATGACCAAGCATGTTCATATCTTTTTACTTTTGTTGGAGTACAAGGATAATAATGTGTAGCAGCAATAGTGAATCCAATTTCTGGTCATTCAGAAGCTTTGGATTCAGCAAAAAGTCATGTCTTTTTATACTTTTTGTATCGTAGATTTTAGTTCATAGCTGTTGAATCTCAAGAAACCGTAGATATCAGATCTCTCGTGAATGGAGAGATCCTTCGATTGTTTAGAATCCAGAGATTCAGCTTCCCATTCTCCAAATGAGCTAGCAACAATGAGAAAGATTGAAATCATGGCTTGTAAATGACTACTCAATACGGAAGCAAGAATGCATATATTAATCCTTCTTGACCGATGTATTCTAAGTAAAGCCTTTGAAGGATTCAGGAACAAGGCTAATAGGATATTGTGAAGTCAAAGTTATTCAGACCAGAGGAATAGCATAAGGCGAAGGTTGGAAGTGGAGAAGAGAAATCGAAACCTCTCGTGCTGCAAAACACTTGGTTCCTCAACACTTTCACCAGTTACTTGTGCACCAAAAGCAGATTCATCAGGCTTGTAGTCCTACCATGACACATTGAATTAGAAGATGAAAACGGAAGCAAGATTTGGCGAAAAATATTAACTTAATCAATAGTCAATAAATTATTTGGTGAGAGAAAATGAGCATACTGTTTCCATGTCAGTTATGAGTTGGCAGCAGGTGTCGTTCACATCTGATGGAACAGTGGATACGATTGGCAACTCTTCATTTAAAACTTCTCCCTGAGGAAGATGTTGATCTAGAGAAACATTATTATCAGCAACTGACCAACAAGAGAGATCATCCATATGAGGTACAAAAGGAAACCTACTGAACAGTAAATTGTCCGTTGAGGCTTCAAAACGTAATGTGTAGAAATCTTCTACAGTACATGCACTATCTACAAAGGATTTCTCATGAAGTTCCCAGTTCGTCCAATCTAGAGAAGCAACGGCATCCTGCGAAAAAGAAGTAAGGTAACTCCTTTCTGAGTTGAAATCATATGTTTGGAACCGGTAATGCATAATAATTCAAGATCCAATCCTAACTAGCAAATGAAAGTAAGAGCCACATATTGAGTTGAAGTTGAAAAACAGTTGACTCTCAACTACAGCTTACTGTAAGCGTTGATAATTTCAAAAATTGTAGTCCAAACCATCCCCACAAGAAGATGAAACTGAAAAATGATAAACAGCCTCACATGACTACTATATTTGCGGGCTTAACCCTCCTTCACTCCTGCGATCCACAAGATAACGCAAAGAACAATATTCGGAATCACCGTGATACATCCTCATTTAAATATTGCATACCTCATCCCTCTCAAATACATGAATAGGTGGCGCTATAGCTTGGTCAGATCCTCTCAGGACATCGCCTACCACATGATGTCTCTTACTCCCTTTCCATAATGAGAAAAATGGGTGCAATTGCTTCCCAGAATACTTCTGGGAGTACTCCTGAAAAACATAAAGATGGATGGCAATACAAGTTCATGTATTTCACACATTAAGCTAGGGTATTCAATTCGCATCAAAGAGACTGTCAAAGTATCATTCACTGACCTCATCAGCCATTTTAGCCTCCAATCGAACGTTTGGCATAGATGGAGGAGTTACATCGATATCCTCCGTCAGATCAATACCATTGATGGTCTCCTTTTTTGGTGTCGAATCAGCTGATGACCTCCCCTTTGACTGTTTGAACAAAACCATCAATTAAGTGTTCATCCGGATCTTTCAAAGGAATTGACCTCATACAAATAGGAGATCAGAAAAGCTGATGCCAAAATCCAGTAAGCCTCAACCAAATTCTTTTATGGGATGCCTGTGCACAGAGTAAGAAGCTAAAGGACAATCGAGCAAGAAAACAGCTAAAATAAACAGCTGCCTACTTCATTAACAACCAAGCAGAAAACAATGTTGGACCTTCTTAGGAGTTCTACTATGAGAATTCGACGCCTTTGCCTTGCGCGCTACTCTCCTCTTGCTTCCTTGACTGCTTCTGCAGTTGTCCTCTTCGTCTCTACCTTCCACACCCTTCAGGTCGCCGTTACACTCTTCATCCTCTAGTTTCTTACTTTCCCCGCCAGATTTAACGCCTTCGGGGGACTTTTTAGGGAACAGCGTAGACTGCACCAGTCTCCGCCGAACCATCCTCCGGATCGGCTGCTTGTCCTCTCCCGAGTCCGCGACCACCACTGTCACCGGTCCCTCTCCCTCTCCCTCAGCTGATCGATCCATGGGGGCCGTCAAAATCTAGAGAAGTGAATTAGGGTTTGTGGGGAAATTGGGGTTTCTGGAAACGGAACAACGCCTTTGTTGGATGGAATATGGATTTGGGCGATAGCGGGTATAAGATTCTCTTCCCGCCTTAAAAACAAGGGTAGACAAGTTTGTGTTGTTAAGAGCTCAGATAAAAATATATGTAAATAATCCTCAGTCGAAAAAAATGTAAATAATCCATATGTTTCTATCAAAAAGCAAATAGAAAGAAAGTCCAAGTCTATTAAGTTAACCCTTCTTTTCTCTTTCCTTTTTATACCTGCATTCTTTTCTTCTTCATTTTGGTCTTTCCCGCCTTTTCTCTTTTTTTGGTAGGTTGGTCGCGGGATTTTCTCTCTTTTCTTTTACAATATCCACAGGCTTTATTCGGAGCAGAAATGTTAGAGTGCTAACACCAATTGATTAGCATGATACTAACGCTAATTTCGTGATGATAAGCATTAATTCTGCCTCATCACAAGTATCTTGAAGTAGCCCACAAACTACAGACCATAAACACAACAAATCATATCACAAGTAGCATAAAGCTTATAAGTATATGATTCAAGCCATTGTATACATATTTATACCCTTTTATATTTGTCGTTTTACTAGTGTAACATCGTCCTTTGAGCGATTTAACGCTAGGTTTAGTCATTTTTTAGTATGTTTCACGCTCTAGCAGGTGAAATGGGCAAAATGATCGAAAGTCATACGAAATAAAGTGAAAACGGGATCAAGTGTTGGAAATGTCAAGGGTAGATTATCACGGGTTCAGACTGTGACGATTACCCCGAAACTCTGACATATGCAAGTTCCCAGGAGACTTTGGACGTCTCGCGGGCAGTGCAAGGATCACGAGCGCAGAGAGTGAAGGATGTAAGGAAACCGTGAAGTGTAAATGAAAACGGTGAGTTTTGTGTCGACATCAAGGTTTCACTGCACACATCACGGGCTTGACTGGTGGTCGTGGAGATTGCACTGTCAGGTATATATATGAAGAGAGAGCAGCTTTCAAAGGAGGAGAATTTTAGAGAGAGAATTTGATCTTCTTCTTTATCCTAGAGAGAGAAAGTGACACGCCAAAACACAACACCAAACTGCGACCAATTGTAATCGCAGTCCGGGAATGCAGTAAAGTGGCAAGTTCTATTATCAACCCGGGGTCTAGATCTACTGCTTACTCCGTGATTATCTATTATCTAGCCAACTAAGTTAAGTGATTGTTGTTTAAAGCAAAAGCAGAAAGAAAGCAGGAATTGGTTCGGTTTTCTCAAGCAAAGAAGAGTCACTCGGGAATGAGTCCCCCTAGCTCCTTAGTTAGGTCTCAATTGTAATTTCCCTGGGTTGATTTACTGTTGATTAGACTGCAGAAGATCCGACAGTAGCTTGGAATCTCTTAAGCTGACCAAGCCCTCTCAGTCTAACTACCCGGCAGACGACTAGTCTTCACCGGGATAGAAAGCTGAAGCAATAAGCACAGAACTCCACTACTTGAATTGTATTCCAGTACAAAGCAGTAAACTGGCTAACTCTCGTATAGCCAATCTCCTACTACCGAATGATGAGGCTCTAACAACCTAATCAGATTCTATCTATCTCAGGTTGCAGCAGAAATCAGGAAAAGCTGATCAGACTTCAATTGACTCAATAAACATGCATCATTCGATTAAAACCAAACAGTATAATCATCCCAAGTCATTACAATCAAATCCCTAACACATGGAACTAGGGTTCTTCATACCCAAGTGAGAGAAGGGTTCTACTCCATAGAGAGAGAGAGGAAAACAAAATACAAAGCAGTCATACTCATATCAATGGGAAGAATCTGCTCTGGGGTGATGATTTCCACTCCTATTACGATCTCCAAGCTCGATTTGCTGAAACCCAGCTCCAAGATGGCTTCTAGGATGTGTTCTTCGTACTTTCTCTCTCTAGGGCTCTGTTTTTGCTCTGAAAATCCGATTCTCTCACTTGCAGCCCGAAATTGGGTAAAAACCAGAAATTCCCGACTCACCCGGGCAGGTCACATGGCCGTGTGGCATACCCAGTTGCCCGTGTGAGGTCAAAACGCCGCGTTCCGATTATGTGGGTTTCAGGCTTCCTACACGGCCAGGGGCACACGGCCGTGTAGCTCACCCAGCATGGCCATGTGAAGCCTCGCAGAATTCCACACAGCCAAATCACTCATTCACACGGCCGTGTGGATTGTACTTGTGCCCGTGTGAAGGATCGCACAATCCCACACGGCCACCTTGGTCAGTTGCACGGCCGTGTGGGTTTTGTGTGTGCCCGTGTGACTTCCTTTGCGAATCGCCACGCGTCCGATCTTCGTCCAATCGACCCCAAACTCGCTCCCAAACCTTCATTCACTTACTAGGACCTGAAATATCACAAACAAGCACAACCTAGCGTGAAATCAGCCTAAAACACGAGAATCAACACCTCAAACGGCTCCAGAATAGGGGTAAAAACATGTGCAATTAACGGCTTATCAAACTCCCCCACACTTAACCGTTTGCTTGTCCCTAAGCAAACCAAGTCAGACACAAGGTAAGCTTACATATTTCAACCATACCAACATTGGGGACAAATCATATAGGCACAGAACACGTGAACCATACTGGTTTTCAAACATCAACACATGAACAACCTCAATAGCAACCTGGACAACCACCACAGAAGACATTCGAGTGCAGCATAATCGAGTAAAGGAGGAGTCTCCCTTCTGTTCATCAACCAACCTAGACTTGACTCAACCACCTACTCAAGACAGTCGACTCATGCATAAAACTCAAGACATCAGAATCAAGACTGAGCCATCTAGGTCCTCACCGGGTAAAGAGTGTAAAGAACAAGGAAATGAATCGCTCACTCTCGACCAGTGGGGTCAGGACAATTTGATGCGAAAAATGCGCATACTAATTCTCTCAATTCCTAACATCTCTTCACCATGACGGCAGCCTCTAAAAGTTAGAGTTCACATAAATGGTTGTCATCACTAACTAATCCGGAGGTCTTAGACACAGGTTCAAATGACTGGCTAGGGTCTTGGACATGGGGAAAAGGCCTTTTAGGTGGTGGAAGTATTCATAGCACAAGGTTCCACAATTCCAAACCCAATAAACTCACAGTCAATCAAACGAGTACTTTCTTTCTGCTATTCTGCATTACTCAAATTCAGAGCACAAGAGCGAAGGAGGTCACATAAATACCAGTATTTCTAAGCCAGACTGCTAAGAAACACTACTTAATGGGCACTATTCAGATTTTTGGTGGTGGCTCTCTTTTGCTTTCATTTTTTCTTTGTTTTTCTTTCATTTTTTTCCATTTCTTAAGAGAACCACCACCTCTGCACATTTTCAAACACCTGCCCAACTTTTTAAGAACTACCTCCAACTCTCACATTACATTTAGCAGAAACAGCAGAGAACATGTAAAAATTACTCTGTGGAACCTTCTAAAAGATGCAAAAGGGTGACTTTTCATTGAAGACTGAAACAAAGGATAACACACGGCTCAAAGGGGCTGACTAAGGGGTATGACACATCAGGACAGTCAATTTGGTCGTGGGCTAATCATATGCCTCCATCATCTTAGCTAATGACAACGTGAATGCTACACATCATGGAAGAGGGAACTATCGCACAAGAAAGAAACGAGCAGGCTCAAATCTCACATGGCTACCTATATGCTCTATCTCTCATTCTGATCCCTGAACTAGATGCATAAGAGACTGTCAAAAACAAGTAATCAATCCAAGTCACAGTTGGTAAGCAAACAGTTGAAAAACTGAACCCCTACACAACTCGACTGCACGTCTCAGTCATCATTATAGGTTGTCCTAATCACCATCCAGTTGTCATGCATTAATCCAAAAGCCATTCAATTCACCAATTCAAACACAGTGCCAATATGATCAAACAACCGTACTTGGAGCCCTCAAATCTCAAGATTTGGACAGCGGACTAGGCTCCAAGCACACATATATACATTCCAACCAATACAAAGCACCCCCCCACACTTAAGCACGACATTGCCCTCAATGGAGCAGAGGGATAGAGAAGGGGAACGATGTTACCGGATTGAAATGTTGCGGGAGACTGGAAGTGGACCAGTCAGCGTGGAACATATGGAACGAACGGACAGTTCTGCACTAAGGGAACATCAAGAACACACTAGCACATGTTCGTTAGGGATCAGAGTTGGCCCAGATGGCCACAAAAGAAACAATCCACAAAAGAAAAGAAACAAAACACACGACAAACTCAGTTCAAGCTACTCAAACACATGGAGCAAACAGAAAAAGTCTAAAACAAAAACAAACACTGAGGGGCGACAAGTACAGCCTACTCGTCGCCAAGGTTGTCCAGATCGATGTCATTCATGAATGCATCAACATCATCAGCTGGTGGAGGTGGAAGTGGAGAGTCCTCCCAGGGAGTCCTTCACACTGGCTGCTCGCCTGGTAGCAGCTGGAGCAGATGCTGCTGGACCTCCTGCATGCGCCTAGAACGGGCCTGCTCTCTCTCTATGCGAGCCAGGGTCACGCCCTGCTGGGTCTCCATCCTATCCAGACGCTCATCATAAGCGGCCATCCGTGTCTGGTACTCGGCATGGTGAGCCGAATACTGCTGCTGAAACTGGAGCTGATGGTCGTAGAGCTGCTGATTCTGGAGACGCAGCTGCTTGAACTGCTGAGTGAAGTAGTCCTGGGCGGGGAAAGTGGAGCTGCCACCCCCGTACTCGAAGGTGGTGGGGCGGGCGGCAACCGTATCATCCACATCCTCCGGGTGGACATCCTCATCACCCGCACCCTCGGGAACCTCCGGCTGGACCTCCTCTGGGATCTGAGGTTGAGGAAACCCCTCGATCCACATAACACCTTGCACTTCTCGAAGCAGGTGCATTTTACTGATCGTAAACCGGCCAAAGGCACTGGTGTCTCCCTGCTCTGTGCACCCCTGCAGGGATATCTG